AAAGAATTATATGGTTAAAATTGATGAATATCAAGTGTCAATTTTGATCACGCGATCCTTTATGTCACTGAATAGCCGGTTTGAGCGATTCGTAAAAACGTACCTTCGAAATGTAGAAAGATTTCAACAAATGATATTTATTTGACCTTGAGCGCAAGTAAACAGGGTGTCTCACAACCTCCAATAATTTCATGTATTCTGAAAGTAAAATAGAATAAAAAAATCCTAATACGAAAATGTCGAGGCCACAATAGTTTTTAAGTCATATAATTGATTAAAGATAGTAATATTCCATATAGAACAGAATTTGCAGCAATATCGCTGCAATAACGCTGCAATATTGCAATGTTGTAGCATTGTTGCTGCAACTTTTGTGCTGTAGGGGATAGAGTCTGCGCGGTCAGACCAATAGTTACACGGGCATTGATCTGATATTAATTAGTGATTACACACAGTTAATATTGATTACTGCTACACAATGCATTCACACTATTCATTTTATGATTATTCATAGCATTAGCAATTAGATATTATTAAATTTATTAAACCTAACAGTTTCATAGTTAAAAACAAAGCCTTTTGTAATTTTTACATGAAAGATAACTATAAAACTAGATAATTATGCAGAATAGGGCCTTTTCCGAATTTCGACATTTTTCAGCTGCAATGTTGACAATAATGTTATAGTGATAATAAGTCGGAGGAGGTTGAAAAATAAAAAACAAAAATTTTCTTTGAAAACGTTACATATAGTAGTGCATATGGGCGCATGACTTTCTACGCAAAGCGACTCCCACCCCACCTCTCTCTGCTTAGGGGCACACGACTTCTCCACCTCTCCTCCTCCCCTGCTACTGAGCATGACTTTAGAATGTCAATATTACTCAGTATACGAATAGAAGTATACGTAATATATTTTTTGCCCTCATTTTTTGTTACTATTTGAATCATAAAGATTATTATCAATATTGCAGTCGAAAAATGTCGAAATTAGGAAAAGGCTCTATTCTGCATAATTACATAAAACTTATTGGGAACTATAAATAAGTTTCCTCCGTTTGACAAAATGGCACTACCAGTATGTTATAGTTAAAATTGTCAGCTGTAAAACGTCATATCGTAAGGTTTGACATCTGGCAAGAACATAACCTTGAAATATTAGCGATTTTGCATCAGCGATTCAGCATCTTATATCTTTTTTTCGTGAGAAAATGTCGAGTTTTGAGCCGAATAAGCATCATTTGCGGGAGCTTTTGATTTACTTCTTTAATTTGAAGAAATCTGCAGCTGAGGCGCATCGATTGCTTGTAGAAGGTGAGGCTGCCTTAAGTGAGAGAAGTTGCCGTGAGTGGTTTCAAAAGTTTAAGAACGGTGAATTTGACGTCGAAGACAAAGAACGTAGCGGAAGGCCGAAAGTGTACGAAGACGCGGAATTGGAAGCATTATTGGATGAAGATTCGTGCCAAACGCAAGAAGCACTTGCACTTACATTAGGAGTGACTCAACCAGCAATTTCACATCGCTTAAAATCGTTGGGAATGATTCAAAAGCAAAGAAATTAGGTTCCATATGAACTGAAGCCGAGAAACGTTGAACGCCGATTTTTCATATGTGAAATGCTGCTTGCCAGGCATAAACGAAAGGGTTTTTTGCACCGTGTAATCACTGGTGATGAAAAATGGATCCACTACGATAACCCAAAGAAGAAGAAATCATGGGGACCACCTGGCCATGCTTCAACACCGACAGCCAAGCCGAACATTCATGGGAAAAAGCTCATGTTGTGTATTTAGTGGGATCAGCTAGGTGTCGTTTATTATGAGTTGCTCAAACCGTACGAAACCATTACTGGGACTCTCTACCGAACACAATTGATGAGATTCAGCCGAGCACTCAAGGAAAAACGCGCCCACTACTACTCCAGACACGACAAAGTTATTCTTCTGCATGATAATGCTCGTCCACATGTTGCGGCGCCGATCAAAACCTACT